TACAGACGGAGAAAATCTTTGCACTGTAAGATATTCCAATTCCTCTGTTAATGAAATGACTTGCAGTCTACCTATTCTTCTCTTGCCTACTTTTGCCCTAAACGCATAAACTCAAGCCTAAATTGCATGGTGGGATAGCTGATGTGGTTATGGCCTCCATGGGCCTATGCCACTCTATTTTTTTTCCAATGGCTTCCGTGGGCCAGCCTATGGAAACTCTTGGTCCATGTCCTTTTTTTTTCGAGTCAATATACAATTCAAAATGTAAAATGAAAGTCAAATCAAAAGTAAAATTTAAACAAAGTAAAACAAAATTAATATTACAACACAAGTGAAATAAAAACAAAACAAAAACAAATTTGAAGGAAAAGTGAAGACAAAGTAAAATTTTAAAAAAAGGGAAAAATACAAAATAAAATAAAAATAATTGTGAATGAAAAATTAGATAAAAGGTAAAATGCCACACGTAGGTTTTTAAAAGAACTAAGATCCTCAGATAATATAATAAATTAATAGCATTATCTTTAAGAGAATTCCATGAGTTAGGCCCTAACTTAAGGAAAGGCTTTGTGCAAGAACATTACCTAGAAAATTCGAACGTGCCACCAAGTTACAAAATGAGGCAATTATTTTTTTCGGTTTCTCATGGAGTACAGAAACATAGTGACAAACATTTTCTTTTTGGTTTGTCAACCATTTATGCAAAACAACACAGGAGCAACAGATGTTCTCCCTCTCCCCTAGACAATGTTGTTCTTCATTGATTAAGATCAAATCTGTTAAGAAAATTGTATACTTGGACAGCATTTTTCTAAATATCGTAGCTGTACCAGTTCTTCCCTCTCCTTCCTCCCCTGAAAGCAATGTTGTTGTGTATTCAAAAGAAAGCCTGATCCCTGGGCGTTTGTGGGAAGCAACATTGAATTGGGGGAAGGGGTTTTCTTTCCGCAAAGGCGTCGTTTTGGAAATAGTTTTGTTGCGTAGGAAAGTGGACATGATGGGGAAAACTTTCTCAAGTAGTTTTGTCCGGGATTGTAGCATTTCATGTAGGATTCTTCCTAGTGAAGGCAGTTGACATGGTGCTGGCATATCCCTTGTACTTGGAAGATCCTACATGTAGCCCGGGCACAAGTCAATCCTTTGCATGTAAACTAAACACAGAAAACATATGTGCTAGGATGATCCACCTTCTGGATCTTCCCCCCTCCATGTAAACAGCCCCTTAGAAATATGATTACATGTGATGTGCTTGATCAAACAAGGTCTTTACTTAGAGTTAGGCTCCACCGTAGAAACCTGTACATATTCTACAACACTGCATGCAGGGGGAAGGGGAGGGGATACTGCTGTTAGCCACTGACCAGATAGCAAGGAAGTGGAGATCTGGAAATGACTAACCTTGCCTCCAGTGAGGTATTGGGTAGCATAGCACAGAGTCAAAGAATATTATTTTATCAGCCCACACTAAATAACTGTGCTACAGTCAGTGCTGTCAACTCTCCCGGATAATCCGGGAGACTACAGATTTTGAACCATGTCTCCTAGTCTCCAGATTAGAGTCTGAAATCTCCCGCATAATCAACGAAGTTTGTCATTTCTTGTAGACTTGACATCCCAACCATAAAATTTTAAATATTTGAGCTATTTTACATGTACTACTAACATGGAATGTTTCCTCACAAACTCCGGCATGCCAAGTTGTAATTTAAGCAATAATGTGGCTTCATATGAACTGTTTTATGGGCTATTATGTCGATCAGCGTCAACAATTATTTTTTGCACAAATGACATCATGTGGCATGTGATATGATGTCATCTACAATTTATCATCCCTTCCCTATTAATTCTCAATATTTGAAAATGTGGGGGGTTGACAGCCCTGTACAGTGTATGTCAAAATGTTGGCAATCAAGAATGTTGTCTGGAAATTTTATTAGTAAAGAGAAATGAAGCAACTTTAAGGCTACTGTCAAGCTCTGAGCTGCTTGGTAGCCACAGTTATGGCTAGATATTGGTTTAAAAGTTTCATTGTTTGCTGAAAGGAACATAAATTATTGCTCTGTTATGCAAGACATAATGTGTCATGCAAAAGAAACTGCTGGGAACAAAGTAGACATTTTTTACATGTCTGATTTCTGCCAAAGAAAATAAATAATCATTAAGAAAATGTTGAAATAGGTTAAAATTTCATAAGTTTCCTTTGCATTCCACAATTTGCAAAATATGAGATGTTTCAATAAGCCCTTCATTTACTTTATTGCTGAAGTCATATTTGCCTTTACATGTGCGAAGGGATTAACGTCCTCATTACCTTGAAACACACATACCAGAGTTGCAATATAAATTTGGCGATAGCTTTTCTTGTACAACAGTTTTTTAAATCTTAGCAGATTTCCTCTTGGTTCTGTTTTGTTATCAGCTTCTCATATAGTCACAGTGAATATCACATGACCTTATCACTGTAATCAAAGCAATGTGAAAAGTTTGATAAAGATAAGCGGTTCCTCTTTTCGTTTGCCTCAATACATGATTTTGGCACTTTGTAAATGAGAGATTGTGAGGATGCAATAGCTTTCTTGTTTTGGAGTACTGGAAATCTTTTTCAGTTCATCATTTTGTTCTCAAAATCAGCTTGCATGATATTTTTAGCACTGCAGAGCTGGGCAAATTTTCACCACCTTTTTCCTGACATAATCAGCATGAATAGCCTCTGTTGGGGTATTTTTTGTGAATTCAATAAATTGCTTTGCAATTGAGAAATCAAAGGTGATATTTTTCTCTCCAGCAAAATCTTCTGAAGGAATGATAATTTGCAAATGTGTATAAAGCAAAGCAAAATAAACAGGAAATGTTTCTTCAAAGGTTTTCCCTTTTGAAAGAGCATAGTTTTAATAAAAAATGAAACAGAGCAAAAAGTTGTAAAAAAAATTTATTTCAGTTTGATAACAAGGATAAAATACTTGCATACCGACAAAACAACGTTGAGTGAAATTCGAAACCTTCCACAGACATGTTTGTTGTTTTTGCACATTTCTATACATTATACTGGCTTAAATCTTGAAAATATTTTATAAAGTCAAATTATTAAAATAATTTACAAGTTGAGTGAATGTAGTGTTGTGAAACTGTCCTGCAAAACATCTCGTGGCTGTAGCTCTAGACACAAAGTATTGATTTGCTCATGCTAAATTGCCTTTTTATCATGGAAACAATGATCTAACTCTTCACTCAGCAAGTCAAAAGACACTGCATGTGTCAGAATGCTTTGTGAGCTTGCAAATAGTCATGAGACCCACGAAAGGATGAAAGGGCTAGCTGTCAGATACCACAATACTGCACTTTAAACTTTAAATTAAGTTACTGAAATACCGCTTGAAAAAAAGCTCAAAAATACCGCAATACCGTAAACTCCAATTCCCCCCCCCCCAACCCCTTTAGTGGAATAAACTCTTTGAGAGAAACATAGTGTTTTTATATTGGGGGCTAATCATCTAGGGATTGGGGGCAAGTAGTCGATCTGAGGCTAATATTGTCCTGGGGGTAGTTGTCTGACATTCAAAAGAACCACAACTAATTGAAACGTCTTGCCAGAAATTGTGTGAGAAGTCAGTGGTAATTGAAGCGAAAAATGGCGCTGTACCACAAACCCCGCCAAAAGACAATTGTGAAAGTATGAATTTAGTTCGACACAGCATAAGCACATTGTTTGAATCACTGCAGTGCCAGAGTCGTGTAGCAAGGAAGAGCTTGCCGAATTTGTGCTTAGTGCCATGCTTATGTTTTGCGAACTTACTTTAAAAAAATTTGTCATGGCTGAAGCGCGACGTATGAACTGGTTCTAAAAGATAGTAATAATTATTGCCCCCGCAGGGATTTCGCCCAGAGGCGAAATCCCGAGGAGGCACCCTAGTAACTCGCGCGTATATTAAGGACAGTACTTACAGTTCAAATATACAGTCGGTATACTAGAAAAAATCTCGATTTGCTCGAACAGGGGCCGTGGGGAATCGGTAGGTAATGATGACGTTTCTATTGTTTGCGCCCGCAAGTACAAAATGGTTAGGATGACGTAAAGACAGAAAATCCCGAAGGGACGCTCAGGTAGATTTTGTGACATTTATTGTGCAGTCATACTTCGATACTCTTTTGCGTTACCCAGTGACATTCTGTGGAGCAGTTGTCTTGAAAGTTATGGACCAAAAGACACTCGTTAAGCGCAGATGAGGTTATAAGGTGTGTTTAACTGTGTATATATAAACACTTGGAGAGTTTGCCAGACATGAGTGCACAAATCTTTGATTTACACTGGAAACCTTGCCAGACACTCTTTCTCTCTCTTTGACCGGAATAAGACTCAGCCCCAAACAAGCAAGACGAGTGAACAACGGCTAGCTTATAACTAGCAGATTGATTGACAATTACAGAAATTCGCCGACAATCAAATTCTGTGCTGACTTTTTCCCTAGTCAAAGATGTCCTTCCGTTATGAAGTTTCAATAGGACTAGGATGCGCGAGCGTGAATCGATCAAACGTCCTTTTAATTTCTAAGGCTTACTTTCCGGCAAGTAAAATGAACTGAATGTAAAAAGTGAAAGAGAAATAGCGAAAAATTCAACTTCTAATTAAATATTTTCTTATGGTTTACAATAAACTATTCTCGAAACTGAGAATGTTTTGATCAAAGCTGTGTAAATCGAGCTGAAACTCTGCATGGTACCTTCCGTTTCTTGTATTTATCTCACCTACTGTATGAAATATGTGTGAAAATCTTCATTATGAATCGGTATATCTCAAAGAGCGACCCAACCAGGAAGAATACTATTGACCGACAATATAAAGAACGGGGGCAGCTGTAGTGTCAACTATTACTAGTAATAATAATAATAATAATGTCGTTTAGCTATAATGTCAATACTTGTTTGAAAAGGAATGTACTTACCGTTGGCAACTTAACAGAGGACGGTCAGTCCGGCCAAACAGCAAAGCTTTTAGCCAAAGCTGAACAACGTTTGCGCATGTGCAAAGACGCGAGAGGTCTGGGGTCTAATCCAATCTCGACCCCAGTTGTCTTATGCGCATGACTATGGGGTGCTTAAATGGGGTGCCATTTAACCGCCATCTTGGGTTTTACTTTTGATTCTGCGCAGTGTAACCGGAAGTCCGCGATTTGCGGACTCAAAATCCCATCTGTCCGATCTGGCAGATTGGCCAGAGGTCCCGATCCCCGTCGCTGACCAAAAGGATCGCGGCCTCTGGGAACGAGATTGCTTGTACACAAAGCGAGCACAAAGCGGAACAACTATGCGCATGTGCACAGACGGGGGAGGTCTGGGGTCTTCATCTGGGGTCTAATTACATTTTGGCGGATTCCAGGTTCTGATTATATTCTGAATATTTGAGGTTCCCATTTTTGAAGTAAAGGTAGATCATTTCAAACTTAATTTATTCAATTCTCGTTTCTACTTTGTAATTTTTCTTCTTTTTTTGGTATGAACAAAAGGAGCCGCACGAATTGCAAGCGGGTTTTTTAAATATCCTAGCCTCATATTTTGCCGATTTTTAAGGTGGTTTCCGAATATTTAAGGTTCCCATTTAAACAAAAGGTAGATAATTATTTTCACATTTTATTCAATTCTCCTTTCCGTCTCCGTAATTTTTCATCTGTTTTGTTGGTATAAACAAAAGAAGGTGTACGTACGAAGCCGACAACATTTCTTTCATTCGAGTGTGTACATGTTCAAGTATAAACAGAAATGAAAGACAGACTATCAACATGTTATCAGTTCTAAGAAATCGTCCGGACATCTCATATCAGTGTCAGCATTAAAGGAATATTTGGATATTTAACTTTATTCACGGCCCGCGCATGGGGAGGGGCTGCAACCTCGTTCCCAGGGCTTTTCCCATTGGGGGGTCAGGGCCCCTCACTTTTTGAAAAAAAAATTAATAAAGTTAAGAAATACACATTTTCAAATAATAGGAATCTTTGATGGAATAAAAGTATTTGTCTGGCGGACCTCACCGACGTATCCAAATTTATGGTTGGTCCGTTTCGATCCTATCATCAGTGGTAAGCCTTTACAAAACTGCACTTAGTCGTAGACTTTTGCGTTTTCACCAGCCAGGGGATGTAGTATATACAACAATGGGGTCTTTTTTATGAAGGTTCTTAAATCTCCACGCGGAGCTACGATTCCTTTAAACAAATTGAACTCGATGACATTGTAGCAAAACATGAATAACTTTCAGCAGAGCATGGTAAATGAAATCGCCCCGATCTGCAAAGTTCCAAACTTCTGCTGGAGTCCTGCAACCATCGCATCAGGAAAACGTCCTTTACGGCGGCTCGAATGTTAAAAACATGGCTTCGTTCAAAAATGACTTAAGAAAGCTTCTAAACAGCCACAAGGAAAGAACGGACAAACTTTGAAGTGAATGAAACACTCGAAAAATTGATGAGTTGTAACTGCATTAAAATATTGAGTGGGCACCAGGTAAACCATTTTTAAAGCCCTCAATTGCAACCCCAGAACCGCCTCCCTCCCCCGCCAACTACACTTCAAAAGAAGTGGATCGGCCCCCGCACTTTGATGGCTGCTCGGCCGGCCCTGTAAATATTTTTCTTGAATGATCGCCTTTAAGGTGGCTCGATCCCGTATTTTTGTTTTATACACCTTCCATCTTTGCATCTTTTATATACTTAAACAAATTGATCTTTATTGTAAAAACATTGTAACACATGCATTACACATCATTTAGACTTAACTTTATTATGATCTTGTTTTTTGGGCGATCGGAATAACTATCATGTGACAATGACGTCACAATAGTTTTAGCTCTATTTCTGCCCTTATCGATCGGCATTTTCTTTGGAAATGCCTTTCGCTACTTACACTTTGGGTGTTTTCTGTTGTGCGAAGATTCACAAAAATCCATAAGAGGAATTTCGAGATATCTTGGAATTTCTACAAAAAGGGCATAAATTATGTACGAACTGAAGGCTGGACTTAATGGAGACAAATTTGCTACCTTTCGGGGGGTTTCCGAAAAGTTTTTATCACTCATTCGTTTTGCAAATGACCTTTATACACTCTACAACCAGCTAAACGCAAGTAGACTTGCGCGACTTTGAAAAAAACGTGAAAACATGAATCAGTCACGAGTGTGTTATGTGAATTTACTTTCTCACAAGATATTTTGTTTTATCGCTTTACCTTCACCAAACACTAAAAAGAACCATCCTAAGTGAGATTTGGGTAATGAATTTTTTCCCCAAGCCTTTAGTGAAAGATAAAAGATCAAAATCCGAGAATTTCCGAAGACTTAACGAAAACGTTTCTGAAATGGCCGCGCGATGGACTGGAGACTAGGTGACGTCAAAGTTGGTCGATCGTCTTTGTCGTGTCAAGTCCTGTCTCTACCGTTTTTTAGCCTCAAGAGGAGGGCCCATCATTTTACTTTTTCGCTCGCCAAGCGTGGCTGTGAGGAAAGAAGGACGATGGCTCACCTTCTATGTGCATTCACGCTTGAATTGCTGGTTTTCAGTATCACGCCATTCAAAATAGATCAAAATAAAAATCAAAACCGTTCAATAAATAAAGTCCACAATCTGGAAAATGAAAGGAGGTAAATATACAAAGACCCTCGCCAAGATTCAGGTCCCAAAAATATTCCGTACACACACGAGATATCCGAAGAAATGTTTTACCTAAATTTATAGAGATTTGTATAGAGACGCCATGTAGTGCCCACCTGGATGGGCACCAACATGGCGGACGGAAACCAACAAAAACATCTGTGACCAAGTTTTGGTACAAAAGCGCAACCTCTTCCCCAGGGCTTTTCCCTTAAAAATTTTTTAAGGGAAAAGCCCTGGGGACGAGGTTGACAAAAGCGTGAATTTATTCCTCGAGGAACTCATAATTATTAAAGTAATACTTTTTCTAATTCATGAACTGTTTAGGTAGCAAAATTCCCCGAAATACATCACTTCTTTAACCTACGTAACAGCTCTCTCGTCCGTCATTAAATGCCACGTCACGCAAAAGCTTAAAAATTCAAGCGTACTCTATCACAAAACCAAGAACCCTTTTGAAGCGAAAATTTGCATGAAAATTAGTTTTCAGCTGCTCTAATACATCATGTAAGCAAAATCTCAATTGGATCGATAGTTATGTAGTTTAAATTTTAGTGACGTCATGTGAAAACCAACAATAGGATTTGAACTGATGATTGTGTAAGTAAAAGAACAATGATTTCTGCAACGAAGCTGGGCTGCGCAGCACTCGAAAGTGGAGCGCCACATATTGGATAGGTTCTGTGCCAAACTTTGGTGCAGTGTCAATAGGTATTGGCGAGGACTGGAACTGACTATGACGGAAGTAAATTATACTATTTTGATTTCCATTTTGATTAAGAGTAGAATCTGGAGAAAATGTTGTATCAAACGTTTTTTGTACTTACAGTACGTATAACATTGTACTTAATACGACATGACCAGCTTTTCCAGCATATCAGTGTAAGAAGCAAACCGACCGAACTTTTGGCTCACTGTTCACTGCTAGCATATTCTAAGTGTGGTCTTATTAGTGATTTACATGCCCTCTCCTTGTCTATTTGTGGACAATTCCTTAGTTACACCCTTTCCCGTAAATCTGGAGACACCCATTTCCTCCTTTTTAATCTTTTCGTGTGTACTCCAATCTATCTTTTTCGAGGATGGACGGGAATGACGTTGGTGGTGGTGATGATAAAGGCTTAGATAGTCTAAATTTCTATGGTAAATTTTCTCTATTCCTATTCATTTTCATTTTCTCCTTCTCGTAACTCGCTTATAGAAAGTAAATACATTCTACCCCGTCACGATCGCTTTAAGGTAAATTCACTTTCTCTGAAATTGGTGCAAACATTATTTTAACACCATTTGTCGTTAGCAGTTTCATTAAAGCATATGGAGCCAACAGTTCGAGTTTTTACAAATCTGGCCCCAAACGCGACGCTGTGCTCCCAGTATCAATGTACTAGCCTTCGAGTTTTAACTTTTGAATCAGTAAAACGCAAAGGCCAGGGGCACCCATCGGGAAATTTGAGAAAAAGACCTAAAAACAACAACAAAGCTTGAATAAAGTTTTCTGAGACTATTTTAAGCATTTTGGGAGATTGCTGGAAAAAAATTATCTGTTCCTCACTCCTAGCAAGACTGATGGAAGAGTTCCCAGCCAGCAACCTTACAACCTGCAACCTGACTTACTGGGAAGTTTTATAGGGTACAATTCAGATCTTGAGTGGTAGGCAACCCATACAAGTAACCCGTAGCAGCTATTCTAGACTTCAAATCCCCTCTGACACCCTGAATTATCTTTTTCCCAGCAACACTTTCCTTTCAAGGACTATTATTTCTTCCACATCTCCCAGCCAGCAAAAATTTGCATGAAGAACAGATATTTTGAGGAACAGATCCATTGGGTGCCCCTGAAAGGCAACGACACTTAATTGCAACTACAGGCAGTGATCAACAACTAGGTCAGTCTGATAGTAAATATCACGTTACGAGTGTGTTATGTAAATTTACTTTCCCACAAGAGAGCCGGTGTCGCGTTACAAAAGTTAAATTAATAGTATGACCATGTAGTGGGGCACTTGACATGTTGAGTTGAGCCGTACCACTCCTGAATATTTACTTTCTAGGCAAAATGTCCGCTTACGGGAGGGGTAGGTGGACAGTTTCCCAGAAACGTATAATGATCCAAGTTGGATTGTTTCAAGAACTTGAAGGACTGGAATAAGCTAAGCAATGATATTACCGAGGTTACTACGGCGGGGCCCGGGGGGGGTACTCCCATACATTAGCTATACGGGTATGTGCTGCCCAACGGGGGCGTGATTTTGAAGCTCCTGATTTAGAACGGGGTATCCATTTCAGAAGCGTTTTCTAGAACGGGGTATAAAAAATTCTGGATCACGGCTTTATCTTCTGCTTAAAATTGTTGCTGATTATGA